TTACCCTACAGACAACAGCCTGCCAGGGGTCGTGCGAAGATTTTATAATAGGACAGGCAACAGTCTTCAGGAGAAAAATAAACATTTGGGAAATTGTATTTCAGAATCGCTTCTCTCCCTCCACCTCCTTCCCCAACCCATCATGCAATTCCGGTTCAGTGAAATGCAGCATTTAATATTTTGGAAAATCATTCTCGAACAGATGGGGGAAGAGGTAGGAGGGCAGCATCCGCTGCTGTCCTCCACGATCTCTCCACCTCCCCTTCTTTGCAACAAAGCAATTCAAGCAGCGACTGTTTCTCCTTTGAAGTGGGGTCGGTGGGGGAGAGGAGGAGCATGATTTACTCTTGGCTTTTCTTTGAGACCTTTCTAAGTTGGAGTCTTCCATGGAGTTCCATTTGAACCTGACTCCTAAGGTTTAGATGTTTGGAGAGAAGCGAAGGAGTTGGGGGACAGGAACATCTTTCTGTCCCTTAGCAGAGTGAGGCTCAGAACCCTTGGTTTCCGTGGAACGATGAGAGTGACCCTTCATACTCTCTTTCTTGAACTACAAATATCTTTCCAGATGAAGAAGCTCCTAATCTAATTAGCTGTAAACAGGCCTCTTGGGTGCCACACTACTTAACTAGAGGATGGCAGGAGCAGGAGAGAAGGGGCTGCTGGGGAAAGATGATCCACGATGATGGATTCCTTTTCAGTGGATATGGCTGGGATGGGGTGATGGACTCATATTTCTTTGTGAAGATGTTGGGAAGTTTCTCACTGGGTAAGTTGGCCTGTGATGAATACTCGTTTTTCCATAGTGTTTCCTGTCCCTTCCAGACAGCATGATCAGGTTGTTTGGGCAGTAAAGAAATACTATCAAACACATTTAATTATCCTGAAGGGTCTCAATTTGTTATATGCTTCCCCACTGACAGACCCCAGTTAAGACCACATAGCCTAAATGCTTGCCTTGGAATAGGAAGTCAATCACCTTAGAGTTTTTTTATGGTGTGGATACAAACTTGTGGAGAGATTACATGCAGGGGTGGGTCCTTCCTAGTCTCACTGCTTGATCTATAGAATGCATATGCAGAACCTCTATCCTGTAGAAGAAGTCAGGGCAAGGTCACAGGGCCTCATTTAAAAAAGATGGCTTTGGTTGATTGTGCTCTTCTGGTCTGTTTGGAAAGGTTTCCTAAAGGTTCTGGGTTTTGGTAAACAGTGGCCAATTTGGGGTGAGGCAGGTCCYAGGGTAATAAGGTGATGAAGAAAGGAGGCTGTAATTGGACTGATGAATTGAGGACAATCAGCCAGGCCTCAGATGCCCACAGACCACAGGCTGCCCTGTGACTGCTGTCTCCAGGCCACTCGATCCAGCCTTCGGCCACCTAAAGTGCTTGGTGACTCTTCAACCTGCTCTGCCTCCCTCCTTTCCCACACCCTGGGGTGACACCCACAGCCTCTAGGCTTCATCCAAAAGGGTTCCAGCAGCTCATGGTGGGTAAGCAATCACCCCTTAGCTCCAAGCTTGCAGTTCTGCTCAGCGATACTGAGTGGACCCTGCCAACTACACTTCCCAGACCGTCTGTGGGATGCACCTGCCAGTGCCAGGCCCAGGAGGGAGATGGGAAAGGGGGAGGAGGAGGGGGGGACTATTTCCTGTCTTCCATTCCAGGACTCCATCTTCCTTTGCCCCTCCCAGCTCTGCCTCCTGGTGTYTTCTGTGGTCCCAGCAGCATTTGACCTGGGTGCCCTCATCAGTCAGACTACACCCTGTGCCCAGGTCTGGGCACCAGCTGCTAGACCTTTAAGAAGGGCGACCCTGCCTACAGTACCACTGAGAATGGTCAGAACCAACAGAGAGAAGAGCATGAGCGGTTGTTGGGCCTCTGTGATCTTGCTGGTGCTTGGGGTCTGGCAGATTCAACCAAGGGCACAGTGAGAGGGTGATTCTGTACTTTCCCCACTGCCCACTCAGACTGCAGTGTTTGGTCATCCCCTGCCCCTGGAAGAAGTCCTGGTCAGCCTGATTAGGCGTGTGCTCATTTCCAGATAACATGCATTTCTCTGTTTGTGTTAAATTTCATTTCAGAAAATAAAAGCATCTGGTTCTGGTAGTCCAGTCCTCATAATTTTAAGTAAAATTCCTTGTTCCCAGCCCATCCCCAGCTTGAGGCTGGATAGCTGTGCTCAGGAAAGGGAACGTGGTCCACTTGGCCAGCCTTTCTTTGCAGTTACTGGCTGAGGCTTCTGACCCCTGGGGATGGTGGTGGAGGGAGAAGAGGTCCATTGGGCTGAGTGCCTCTGTCTGGGAAGATGACTGGATCTGGCTCTCTGTAGTGTGGGCTGTCCCAGGGCTCACGACAGAGACTCCCCTGGTGGAGWTGGTGCCTTCCCCATACCCCCCCTCAGTCACTTTAGTCTGCTGTTTCATCCCTGGTCAGTTGAAGGCCAAGCCCTGTGAGGTCACCYTCTCCTTCAGGCTGTCCTCTCTGGACTGTCCCTTCCCTTTCATGTGGTCCTTTTCCTTGCCCAGGGCACTCTTTCTGCTCTGTTGCTTCTGTCACTGCMTTTCCATTCCTCACAGGGTGTCACACATCAGCCCTCTTGGCTGCAGGCTCTGGTGACCCCATCCAGGTCTCTGGGTGGCTTCCTTATAGTGGGTGGGGTGAGGGGAGGCATCTGCATCTTCCCCCTTGGGGAGGGCTGGGCCCCACTGCCATCCTAAAACTAGCTTTCCCTAGCCTCAACCCCGGTGGACCCTTGAGGAAGGAGTTAAGCAACAGACTACAGACCTGGTTTCACTCCTTCTTTTGCAGGTCCTAGTATTTTAGAGGTGCTCTAACATTTCACTTGGAAGAAATTAGAKGGAGAGAAGGCAGGAATAGTTGGTCCTACATTTTGGTGGCCTCAGATAAAACRGAGGTAGAAAGAAATATTTCAGTTTTAAAATCCATCATAAAAACTATCCTAAATGATAGCCATCATTATTTATATCTTACAGACAAGGAAATGAAGGCTCAGAGTCAATAAGTAAATATAAGTGGCTAAGCCAGGATTTGAACCCAAGCTGGACTCAGAATCCAAGTGATTATACATACAGGTACGTTGGGGGCTCGGACCTCCTCTCTGGATATCGCTCCTGATTGTGGAGTCAGCTTGGCACACAGCTCTCAGACTGTCAGTGGGGGTAGCTGTATATTCAGATTTGTTTGGGCCAGCCCAGGTTTTCCTGGTATTAGTTAGTAGTGGTGTCTCTCCTATCAAACAGCCCAGTTTGGACAATAAATTAATTATGTGCTCATCATAATGGTTGGGGCTTGGGGAGTGTCATTTAGAGGGACCAGAAGCATCAGAAGTTTCTTAGGGGGGGATAGACTGTTGTCTGATGATGACCTCAAGGAAGCCTYCATTTCTCCTTCCAGCATTACCTTTCTCTCTTCTGGGTAGCTCAAAGCAACCTCTAGGGACAAGCTACTATGTAGGAGTAGTGGAATTTCGGTGATTCCATTTATGAGTTCAGTGCCCTTATAGTTCCATGTAAGATTGGAACTATCCAATATAAAAATGAACATAATCTTCCTGTGGGTTATTTAAATTTTTAATTTTTTTTTTTAGAATGACATCAAATGGCAAAGAGAAAAACACCTTGACAAGGTGAGAGGAGACTGCTGAAGAAAGCAAAAAGCTTTGTGTTTGGCACCTTTAATGGAACTTCCCCCTTGCGTTTTGAACAAGGGCACCTGCATTTTTAATATTCATTGGGCCCTGCCAATTGTGTAGCTGGCCCTGAGCACAGGTTTTGGTGCAGTCCCCTGTGACAACTGTTAGCCTCAGGTAGCTGAAGCTGCAGATGATCCATCTGCTACTGCTGCACCCCCTGCTTGGGTGTGTGGCATTCAGACTGCTCTTTCCTGTTCCCTCCCATGCTTTTCCACGTAATTTCCCCAGGTCTTTGCAAAGTTCAAGGGGAAGATAATGGCCCTCCTGATGCTGTGTTAGGTGTGTTCTCTGATGATGACCTGATAACATACAGAGTTGCCTTCATAGTTCCTGTACAGTCATTCCTCAGCATCTTTGGGGGATTGGTGATATGACCTCCCTTGGATCTCCAAATCCATGGATGCTCAAGAGCCTTATGTAAAATGGCATAGATCCTCATATGACCTGGATACATCTTCTGATGCACTTTAAATCATCTCTAGATTACAATACCTAACACAATGTAAATGCACAGTAAACAGTTGTTATACTACGTTGTTTAGGGAATAATAACAAAAAATCTGCACGACTTCAGTACAGATGCAGCCATAATGGGCCTAACTATGTTTTCTATCTGCAGTGGGTAGAATTTATAGATGCTGAACCTGCTGATATGAGGGGTGACTCTATACAGGTTCATCATCTAAGTAACACACGTGAATCCCTCTCCAAGTGCCGGATGCCTGATAAGAGTCAACAAAAGTTGGCTTCCCTCCCCTTTCCTTTCCTTCCATGAGTCTGTACTTATTAGTGATTCTGCTTTCATTTTTTCACATAAACATCTTCCAGCTCAATCCCGCTGCTCTTCAGGGAGGAATGGGAGGCTTGTCTGTCCCTTGCTGCTCTTGGTAGAGCACACTGGTGGCCATCAGGGGCCAAGCAGTCTGCTGCCCAGCCCCATCTTGCTTCCTCAGACAGAATCCAAGCTGGAGCTGCCCCAACCTTCTCCTCTGACCTCCATGAGAAACCAGGGGTGGCCTGTGCCCTCTCTGTGCACTCGCCATTTTTCTTCTTGTCTCCCACCTGCCATCTTCAGGGTTCTGGCAGCAGCTGGACTGAAATTGGAGAGTAGGAGAAACCCTTTGCCTCCGTTTGCCTAGAACTAAAATGGTTGTGGATATGCCTTTCATGGCAGATTTTGCTGATCAGGGAAATTTGCACCTGTTTGGAGTTGGCATCACATTTAGAGAGAGCAAGGGAAAACAGAAACAAAGGCCAGCGCATCCGGAATGATGACTGCCAAAATTACTTACCAAAGACATCTGCGAAGCTGTGAGCCATTCGGGAGGGATGTGAAAATGAGCCCCAGCTGAGTCTCCCAGCAAAATGATTCCCCTGGGCTGTGAACCTAGGCAGCACAATTTATTTACATTATTTATGCACTCAAGTGGTTGGGAGGCTCCAGCTTGGGTAGTTATGAGAGCAGATAGCCTCGTGTTATTCTGTGCACAGCTCATCATAACAGTGATACATTACCACTTTTTGTGTGTYGGAGGGTGTGAGGGGCACAGCATCTAGGAGCTGAATGAAATTTCTAGGCCATTGGAACTGCGAGCTAAGCTATACAGATGCAGGTGTGTTTCTCAGCTCAGCATAAAACTGACTGGTCTACAACATCCTGAGCGCATTATGGATGAATAAATGAATCAAAACTTTATCTGGACTCAGAAATATGCCCTAAATTTTGGACCTGGAGATGGCTTTCTTGGAAAATACACCAATTTCTGTTACAATTCACTTTAAGGGTTAATGACCTCATGGAGCAATTTTGATTTTTTTCAAAGATATTGTGGTCTCTTAAAGCCCTTAATCCATATACACAAAAGCACTGGATGGATGATTCTGGCTGATTAATGGAGAGATGAAGATAGAAAGGTCTCCATGTAGCCTGTATGTCTGGAGGTAAGAATCACTTAATCTGATTCTGAGGCCCATCCACACAAATCAGTCATCTATGGATATTCTCTTCTGAATCCCATAAGAAGCTGGGAAAGTCAATTGTTGCCTCCCTGTGGCAGAAAGGGAAGTTTACTTTTCCACCCCAAACCCTTCCAGTGAAGCCAGAGGATGGGCCCAGTCTTACAGTGGTGGATCCCTAGTCTGAGTGTCCATGGAAACTTCAACTTGGTCATACAGATGGGAATTGAAAATAACCAGGATATTCGGAAGGGAAGAGGAGCATGGGATGCRGGAATCCCTCAGTGACACCAGAAGGTCTAGGGTTTCATCTAGATCTGCATTTTTATTATTATAATTATTTTTTCCACAGTGCTTATTTTTTCTAAGTTGCATACATATGTCACAGGATTTTACATTTCCTATCCTCCTTTCTGCCTCTCTGAGAGCCTGAGGTGAGGACTGTGTTTTTTTTTTTTTTTTTTGCCATGGAAACACTGAGCCAAGTCTAGCCCTTGATACATCACTGGAATAGTTGTCCAGGAAATACCTATGGAATGAATGGGTGAATGACTGAGGGAGTGAGAAGCTTCTGAAAGTTGGGAGAAAAATGCTGCTCAATAGATGCAGTGATGTGACCTCAGGATCTGTTTCCAGGAACGTGTAGGTGGTGAGCTTTCTCCCAGCTGTACTGGTGGCCCAGATATTTATGGCATTGGACACTTAGAGTACAGATATTTTGCTCAGTTGCTTTGGGAAGCCCCTGCAGGCTAGAGCTTGGCAGTCCCCCTCGAATAATTCAGATTTGTATCTTTAGCCCAGTGGACACAAGAACTTGTTCCATCAGTGCAAGTCATAGTGTCTGAACTTGTAGTGCATTGAGAAGGACTTCCCAAGGATGAAACATTTCAGTTGGTGCCTCTCCATGTTTTCTTATTTGGAAAAACCCCAGATTTTTTTTTTTCATGGGAAAAATTCCATGACTCTCTTATCCATCTTGCAGCCTCTTCTAAAATTATCATTGTATTTTGTAATGAAACAATTAAGTTTTGCATTTTCTAGACTCTGCTTTCTTTTCTATTTCTTTCTCAGTTCTTTTTCTGATTTGTCATGAAAACAAATATAATTAAATATATAATTATATATAATATAATTAAAGTAATTTCTTTTTGACTTAACCAGAAAACAACATTCTGTTGTGATAAAGCACACTGACTTTTACAATTCATACCTTCACAGAATTTCTTCTCATATGCAATTCCATCTTTGGGATCTTTACCCTTTAAAAGAGAAATGATGAGATTAATAATTTTTTWAAAAAAATTATGAGACACATACACTAAATCCTTTCCAACTGACTGTTAGAAGTAAAAAAGCAAATCAATAAATAAAATCCTTTTAAGCCTTTTATGTATTCTTGGTCTTTTTACATATACATGATAGTAGAGTATATTTTGACACATTGTACATATGTGGAATATAACTTATTCTAATTAGGATCCCATTCTTGTGGTTGTACAGATCAAGGACCGAGGCATTAAACCAGAGTCCCTGCACCTATGCAAAGAAAATGTAGGCCCCACTATCCATCATGTCAGCCTAGGAACTGAATTCCTCACCAAGACTCCTAAAGTGCAAGAAGTAAAATAAAGAATCAATAAATGGGATGGTATTAAACTAAAAAGCTTCTTCGCAGCAGAGGAAACAATCAAGAACATGAAGAGAAAGCCTACAGAATGGGAGAAAATCTTTGTCATCTGCCTCAGATAGAGCATTAATCTCCAGGATAAACAAAGAAACTAAAAGCTCATACCTTTAAAGTCTCTTGAGTCCCTAATCCAACATAGCAACACTGTGAAAGTAAACTGGATTTAAGAGGAACAGGGGGTGGGAATAAGGAGAGATTCAGAAACTGAGTCTCCTTTTTCAGAGGGTTGAGGGCAGTATGTTGGGGGAGAGGTGCATGAGTTAATGGTCTCCTTCCTTGGAGCACTGAGGGCCCCATGAGTGTCACACAAGATCGGGGCAGGTTCTGCAGTCCCTGAGCTGGAGACCTAACTGTTCTGGCATCTCCCACACCTAAATATTGATGCTCCTAGAGCTGTAATTTTCAACCAGGGTTGATTTTCCCCAATACCTTACCATCCCACAYTCAACCCAGGGACAATGCTAATGTCTGGAGGCAGATTTGGCTGTCACAACAGGGTGGGAGTCACCCTGGGACCTAGTGGTCAAGGCCAAGAAAGCTGCTAAACATCCTACAGTTTACAAGACAATCCCAACCACAAAGAATTACCTAACTCCGATGTCAGTAGTGCCAAGATTCAGAAACCTGAAGGGGAATTTGAGTCTGTGAGGGGGGACAGAGTTGCCGCAGCTGAACTTCCTAACATCAAAAGCTTCCTAACATCTCCCTTCCAGGAACATGAATAGTAAATATGCCAAGACAGAGTGCTGGGTAGTCAGAGATGCGCTGGAATTAGCATGCCCACTCTCCTGGCCTTTGGGGGTTCCCAGTGCATATTAAAACATTAAAGATGCTGAGTCCAGAAGGAAAGAGAACTGTTCAGCTTCACTGGGCCCAATGGCTCCCTATACTTAACCAGATGACGGAGCCCCTCCTTCCATGCCTATTAATATCACACTGAACACCTTGATCCTGGGGATGCAGCTGGGGCTATGTTGGCTCTGATGGTTGTGAAGTCCCCTTCTTGTTCCCAATTTTGTGATTCTGTGAGTCATTTTTCTGCAGAAGGGATAGGTAGCAAGGCGATGCATCTCTCCCATTATTGATACGAACACTGAATTTTGCCTTCTTGAGCTCATGTTGGGTTTCCTCTGGTCTTTTCATGGTCCTGCTCTTTATGTAGGGTGGCACACCATGTCAGAGGCAGTAGTGGAACCATGGAATGAGGATGGCAGCTATGTACCCTGATAAGCCCCCATAGTACCCCAACAGGAGAATGAGACTTGGTTTTATTTGAATAAGAGTTGAGTTGGGGTTCTTGACACCTCAAAGCTCTAGGGGAGATGACTTCTCTTCCTCCACGAAAAAACAATGTGACTGAGAACAGGGTGGGAAGTGTGGGCTGGGATATAGTCATTGCCATGCTTTTCATATCCCAGAAACCACAGTACTTAAAAACACACAGTAGGTGATTGCAAATCTGGCCATTTGTGTCCCAGGAGAGGGAAATGTTTGTGGAAATTTTCTCTTCTTCATCCAGGGAATCTAAAGCTTCAAGGGTCCTTGTTTATATAGCTCCTGCCAGTGTGAATGTTGGGAGTGGCTGGGAGCTACTGAATGTTCTAGGTGAAGAGAGGAGGCCACGCTATAATCAGGACACCTTTCCATGTAAGCACTTCTGGTTGGTTGGAAAAGACTAAATCAAAGGGTCTAAAATTTCTAAGTTTCTGTAATCTTTTAGGATTTCTTTTATTGTACTAAATCATTATTTTCTTTCATATTTCATTTTATATTTGTAAGTTGGTATTTTTTTTTTAATTCTTCACAAGGACCTTTCAAATTGTCTAAATTTAAGAATGCAAAACTTGAGTCTTCTGCCATTACTGTCCAAGGAAAAGTACTTTGTTGGCTTTCTTCCTTCTTTCCCTTTCTCTACCTGGGAGCTGTAAGCCCATTATTCACAGGGAGTTGAGACACCAACATCAGATGCCTCGAGGTGTGGATAGCGAGGTAAATACGGGGTAAGTTTCACTCTGCCTGACTGTGCTGATGAAACAGATAAAAAATGGCTGCCAAAAATGGTGATAGCATGGGGTTTGCTCCAACAGCTGTGTGGGTTGCTGTAAAACTTTGTGAACACCACTCCCATTTCACTTCACAGTGTTCAGACAGAATGAAGGCACTCAACACGGTGACCATGAGCAAAGCTGAAAGGGCTGTGACCCTGAGAGCCTTCATCACATCATGGATACTTTTCATGTGTGATGCAAACTCTCTACCCTCCTCCGAGCAGCTGGAAGAGTTCTCGTGGGCTGCCATCTCCTTCCTTACCTGTGACTAAAGCAAATGGGCAGGGGGCTTTGGGGGAAGGCAGAAAGTAAGAGATAGTGTTAAACTTGAATTTTATTGCTTACCCAAATGCCATTACAATTTGAATCCCGATGAATGTCCCAATTGTCTGGCCTAAAAAAAAAAAAAAAAAATCCACATTGATTTTGATCTGTGCTTATCCCTCAGTGRATGTTAGTTTTATGAATAAAGGAATGAAGGCTACACAAAATGCCACTGAAAGTCAGCCATGCCCAAGAGCATGCCCTGCTGCTGGGTGTTGTGACACAGAAGCCTCCGTGGGACTGCTTGCATTAAACTTGGTTTGGGGTATTTACTGTGAACCCTGAAACAAATCCAGTCTTTTTTCATGATTGACTATACTCATGGACTTCTGGAATGGTACTGGTGAGCATAATGAACAAATCTGCAGTCTATTTTATATAAATAGGTGAAGCTGCTAAAATGGTACTTCAAGAATGCCCAAACACTTGGGTAATTCAATGCCAATGTAATCACAGCACAAGTGAAGGTTGGCATATCCATTTGTTTGAAGTCGGAGAAGTGATTGGCTAAACATCAGCTCAGGACTAAAGTCTGATGTGATTTCCACTCTTTACTCCAGTGGGGACAGATCTCTATTCCTGGGCCCATCTTGCATGTAGAACTCTCATGGCAGGCTGTGTAAATGTCCACATCATCCATCTACTCACTTGGTTCTCCCCCTAGACTGTAAGCACCACGAGAAGGGATATATATATATATATATATATTTATATTATATATATTATTCATATTATTATAAATATATTAAATAATATTATCATGTTATTTATATTATATATAATATATATATATATATATATATATATATATATATATATATATATATTTCATTTACCACCTAACATGATGCAAAGTACTTTGCAAATCTTAGGTGCTCAGTAATCATTTCTTGGACAGATCAATGCATGAATGCTATTTTCTTCACTGAGCTTTACTTCCATTGGGCAAGATGTCCCTTCTGCCTGTAGGTGGGAATCCCTTAGGCTCCACGAAGGAATTATGCCTCCTGCCTCCTTTTTGGAAGCTAATTTTCAAAATCAGTGATGAGTGGAGAGTTACCTTCTGCCAGGATATACTGTCTTGTCACTGTCGTTACAGTCTCTCCCTCTCCAGTGATAGCCCCGCAGTGTCTGCAGTTGAAGAGCACACATGGGAGGTGTCAGGCTTGTTTTGATGGTGCCCACAGCAAAGGTGAATTAGAGCTATCTTGGGCATTTTGACATCTGCACTTTTTAATTCAAAGATAGTCATGGAACACTAAAGAACATTAAGAAAATCAAGATTAATATGAAAGGACATGCCATGTGAGGTGAGATATAACACCAGGATCAAAAACAGGTGGTACTTTGTGCATGTGTGGATGTGTGTGTTTATAGGTGATACTTGGTGTGTGCCAATATGTGGGTCAATTGAGGAATGTATGTGTGCCTGCATATGTGTGTACATGGGGTGTGTGTACATGCATGTATTTATGTGTTTGCATGTTTCAGATGTGTGTACACTCACGTGTGTGGCTCATTGTATATGTGTTTGTTCATGCATGTGTGTTGATGTACATTTCCAGAAACAACAGGACCACCCAACTTCCTAAAATTCCTCTGTTAACCACCAATCTTCTCAGGCTCTAAAATAATTAATATATTTAGCCAAATGGCTAATTTCTTTATTGGACAACTTACAAATAATACAGCTCAACTATTAATCATGTGGATTTATATGTTTGATTTGACTGATTTGAAAGAATCAGGAGTTACAATAAGCCTGGCATTGGTAGCACACGCCTGTAATCCTAAGGACTCGATAGGCTGAGAAAGATGGACTACAAGTTTGAGGCCAACCTCAGCAGCTCAGCAAGCCCCTAAGCAACTTCACAAGGACTCAGAATAAACAACAGCAAAAAAGGGCCGGGGATGTGGTTCGGTGGTTTAAGCAGCCCTGATTCTATCCCAAGTACCCCACCTTCCAAAAAACAGTTTTAATTATGTCCAACAATGTTCTTGTTTCCTCCATTCCCAAGTAGAAGCGCTGAGATCCCTCACACTTGGAGGACTTTGTGACATGTCACTTGCTTGTTTACTTTCCCAGAAGACAACCTGACATCCTCGGAGTTCTCAATTGAACTCACACCTACACACTCTTTCTAAATAAGTTAAAGTAGGCTTGAGAGTTTCCAAAGTAATTCACAACACCTCTCAGGGTAACCACAGTCCCATGGAAAATTCCAGCTGGCAATGGGAACAAAGAAAAATAGAAAGCCTGGGCCTACGACTTGCTTTGATGTCCTGTGTATTGTCACGAAGCCAAAATGTCCTTAAGAATCATGAAATGATGGATCGTTCATCAAATTAATAATGCATTCAAATGAAATTCTGCCTCATCTTGTTAAAGGGAAGAAAACTGAAGGAAGTGATGTAATATTCAACGAACATCTGGTTATTCTTAACAATACTTACTGGGAAAACACTGTATTTGTCTGAGTCCATATCTTTGTATGGCACAGAATTTGTTATAGATCTAGAAGAAAAAAACCAAAACACCCAGTGAGCTGAGATGAAAACAAACAAACAGGTTTGTGAAAACAAACAGAGACACTTTCAGTCACGGCTGTGTTGAGTTTAGACAGAGGGCTGATCTAAGAAAAAAATTCAGGATCTGCATGCTGCATCGGAGGGCCAGCTAAACTTTGCCAGTCTTTGCTCTCCATTCAAAAGACTGTCTTCTTTCTGTTATTTAATGTGACCCTTGCGGGGAAGAGAATAACTGAGTTGTGGGGATGGACATTGCTGCTGAGATCCCCAGGAAAGAGGAGACTGTGCTATATGGGTCCAGTCAAGGAACTCAGCACTGCAAGTTGAATTTGTGACATTTTACACATCCTATTAAGAAGGACTTTCCTTCATGTTCACTCTTTTCAACCACTCACTCTGAGAATCTTGGGCATAACTGTCATTAGCTGGCAGTTTCATTCTCAGTTGTAAGTCTGGGTAACCAAGGAGCCTAGGGATGACCTGACCCTTCCCAGTTCTCAACGGCAAACGCTGCTTTTCATTTAGCCATTCTCACTTAGAGAGTGGCTAAGTAATGCGGTCATGGTGCAGGGTGAGGTTCTTCTTGGAACTTAAATTTTAGAGTTAGTAATGAGGCCCTGTCCAGGATTTACTAAATGGTGTTTTGAATCAAGGGCATCTCAGCAGTTCTGAGAWCCTGAAGGCAAATGAATGTGGCCCGAGACATTTAAACCTACTTGCTCATCTAAAGAATCAGACTAAGAGTCCAGGGGCTCAATGAGAACCAGGTGCTGGGTCTAAAGTCAGATTTATCCATCACCAGCTCTGTGACCCACAGCAAATAGCTCTTTTGAAAGGGGACAGTAATGATGCCTGCCTTATAAGATGGCATTTATGACAGTTTTTGTTGCACAGACACCAGATAATTTTAATCATCCTTATTATTACTGAGCCACGGGTTGTTTCAAAGAATAAACGAAGCTGCATGTAAATATATTTTGTAAATAGTAAAGTACTGAACAAATTGCGATCTGGTGCAAATTATACTCGAAGCACAATGATTTTCAAAAAGAAGAAAAGCATGCTGTTTTTTGCTTTTTTTTTTTTTTGAAATAAAAGAATAATTTCCCTTTTAAATTGGGCCAAGAAAAATCCCTGGCCACAGATGCTCTTGAATTCAATTTTTCAAAGGTGGTTCAATTAAAGAGTTGTCACTGAGGCACTGTTAAGACCCACTGGCCCATGGCTAATACAGGAAATGCAGTGATGCATTCATCAAGGAGGGGACAGTGGTCCCACTTCAAGGGACCAAGATATGATGAAATGATGGGCTGCCCGGGCAGTTGGCTGCACCTCAGCCTCTCAGCCTCTTCATCCATGTCTGAGATTTCCCCTCTTCTTCCCAAATCCTGATGCCTCTTCATCTACCCCATTCACAGCACGGGGTGTTGCCACGGTTTCTGGGATCTAAGCCAGCATTTTACACAGCTGGCTGCTGGGGCTCTTGCTGACAGATGAGCCAGGAAAAGTGTGTAACTTGTGGATCCCTAAGAGAGGATCTGAATGTGGGTCAGAATCACAGCTGCATCCTCCTCACCCCAGATATTTTCACAACAGACTGGAGATGTTCAGTGGATTTAGCTCCCAGGAAGCTCAAGAGGGGAAGGCTGGCAGAACCTACAAAACGTGTTTGCTGTGAGTGGGATTATGTTCACCCAAAGAGAGATGTCCTGATCCCCACTCCCCGTGAATGTGGCCTTTCCCCTATCTGGAAATAGAATCTTTACAGATGTAATCTAGTTTGAAGTCATTAGGGTAGGCCACAATCCAGTATGTCTGGTGTCCTTATGAAAGGAGACGATGGACACCCAGGAACGATGGCCCCATGGAAGATGAAGGCAGAGGTTGCATTGGGGCTCATGGAGGAGTTTCCTTCTACATGAAATGGGAATAATAATAAACCCTACTGCATGAAGTTGTGAGAACCAAATGAAGACATGTATTGAAAATCCATTACTGGGGACCCAGAAGAGCATCCCTAATGCAGCAGCAGCAGCATGTTAAATGTCGCTGAGGCTATAGTTTGGGTCCAGAATGTCCTTCAAAGGCCCATGTGTTAAAGACTTGGTCTTTTGGAAGGAGGAAAACCATTAACAGCTGGGACCTAGTGGAAGGTTTTAGGTCACTGCAGGTGGCTCTAGAAGGCGATTGTGGGCCTCTGGTCTCTCCCTCCTTCTCTTTCTTTCTCACTTGGCCATACACTAAACAGGTTTCCTCTACCATGATGTACAGTTTTCCTGCCAGGATGGACTGGGCCATCACAGGCTCAAAGCAACAGGGCCATTTGGTCTTGAACTGAAACTTCCAAAACTCTGAGCCAAAATAAACTTTCTTCTTTTGAACCTGATTATCCCAGGTATTTGTTACAGTAATAGAAAGCTGACTACCATACTGAGGAACGAAGGATCTATGCTATTTTTTCTTTTAGTCCAGTGTCCCTCTCGAGTCACTGTTTGTCTCTTAACATATTGAACAGTGATTCTATGATATCTAGTTTAACTCCAGATGCCAAAGGGAGCTGGAATATGGGATTTGAACTGAGATAGTGGTGGTGGGCAGTATTGGGGAATTCTGACACTGTCTTTCTGTTTGGAATCCTACTCATATGTATGAGCCAGACTGTTCAGGTTGAACTCTATGAAAAACAGCCCCCTTCCAACATCATGAGTGCCTTGCAACTAAAGATGCTCAAAGAGTCCCAGCCACAACCCATGGCTGACCTGCTCTGTATCTTACATGGCAAGAAGGAACTGTCCCCCGTTGTCATTCAATAAGTGTTAGAGCTGCACAGAAAGCCTTACTGGCACCCTGCATTCTGGCATGGGGTAAAAAGCAAGCTTTCAGATTCAAAGGTACTGGTCAATACAATTTATTTCCAAAGTGGTTTTGTTTGGAGCCAATTTGTCTTGTGGTTTCGGTACAAGGCACATTTTAAGCGAGAAACACTGTCACCTTTAGGAAGATGACATTTAAATATGAGTATCATTTTAATCACTAGAAAACAGAAAGAAGCAAAGATCATAGGCTGGGGAGGTAGAAAAAGAATACCTACAATTTAATTTTCTGACAGATCTTGGCCAAAAACGGGAGTGAACAAATATCGGAACCACTTCTAGGATATTGCTGGAGAAAGAGAGAATGAATGAATGAATGAATGAATGAATGAATAAATAAATAAATAAAGTTGTTTAATTCAAGGAATGGTTCCCCACCTAAGGTCTCTTCAGTGGTCCAGATTTCTGGACTTTCCTTCTAGAATCTGCTCCATTTCACTTATCTAGATTTACCTTCTTGTTCCTGTCCTCACACCCCATATTCATCCCACCTCCCATGCCTTGATCCATGCTGGGACGTCAGCCTGAAGGCACCCCCCCTCCCCTAGATTCCAGCCAGCCATTCCCACCTTTATGGCTGCCCTGGTTCTTCACCTTTTTCCAAAAATATCTGGCCTGCCTTGGTTGGTTCTAATGGAACAATATTCCTTTGCCCAAGTGCTTTGAAAAAGGGTTTGAAAAAAAAAAGCACTTTCAAATAAAATATTCCATCCTAATAAAGGTTAAATGAAGACTAAATGGAGAGACATGCTTGGAGGCTTGAGATGAAGGCAGGCCCTTTCCCCAAAGAAGCTGCGAGTTGTGAAGAACAGGGGATTTTAGATAGTAGTTTCCATAAGAACCCAGATGTGCGATAAATTAAAACCCCTGGCTTTTTATTGAGCAATACTTTTCGAAAGATAGCAGTTTCCATGATTATTAAAGAGAGAGAAGGCTCCAGGGTAGAAAACGTTGGAAACTAGCAATTATCAATGAAGGGAAAGATGAGTCAATTCCCACCAGCCCAAAGAGACCTTTAGATGGCTAGGGGCTGTATGATGGGTACTGGGGATGCTCTGCCTCTGGCAAAGGAGAACTGGTAACCTTTTCAGAATACCAATGGAGTATGTAAAGGTCTTAGCGATGTCTGCCCTTCCTTCCAGGAGTAGAAGCAATCCTGACTAGGCCCCCATCTCTATGCAAGGCTTAGAGACAGGCTGACTTTGTCTTTAGCCCACCATCAAGTGAAGGGTCTGGGTGGATGTCCTACTTCTTGGCATTCCCTATGGGGTGCACAGAGGTGGAGGCATTATCGGGGTTCTCTAGGAACCTGACCCAGAAAACCCAGATGATCCAGAAACCAGGAAGGAAGGAGGCAGGTAGGAGGTAAGACACAAATACCCTGAGGTTTTGCGATGCCAAGCACAGCCCACAGCCTTGCTAGAGATGCAAATCCTTAGTGGCTTCCCCGCAGATCTACTGAACAAGCTGCCGTGGGGTGGGTCCCAGGAATCTGTCCTCTCACAGCCTTAAAAGTCATTCTGATGCTCACTCTCCAGGGTCATTTCCAATGCCCACTATGGTTTGAGAACCACTGCTTTGGGTCCCAGTTGCTAAAGGTGTGATGATGGGCTAGGAGCATTAATGGCACCTGGGAACTTTTAGAAATGCAGAGTATCAGGTCTCCTTCTCCCATCCTCAGACCTACTGCAATGCAATCTGTATTTCAACAAGGTCCCCAGAGGGCACACTAAAGCTGGAGGAGCACCCCACTCAATGCTGGGGAGGTGTGAGAAAGTTTGGCATCTTTCTTAGGAGACAGACAAACATTCAGCCTGGCTGGAGTGTCTGAATCATGGAAGAAGGGAGGCATTATGTCAGGCTAGGATGCACCCAAAGGGTACCCTGAGGACAGTGGAGAAGCCTTAAACGAATCACACTGGGMAGAACAATCACATTTGTATCTCAAAGGGATATATTTGGGAGTAAAAGATGACCTAGAAGCAAAGAGATGGGATCCTTCATCCCATTAGAGATAAGAGACCCTGAGAGACAAAGAGATCCTGATCCCAGGGTTCCTAACCTCAGCACTATTGCCCTAATAGTTCAGCCTCCACTGTGAGGCTGTCTTGTGTACTGTGTAAGGTCCTCTACCCACTAAATGCCTCTAGCACAAATCTGTCTCCAGACTGTGATGAATGTCCCTCTTGGATTGGGTGTGAGGGACAAAGTTCCCACTGGCTTGGAAACTTTGAAGTAAAATCGGGTGGGGTGTAGAGGCAGTGGGAAAAAAAAAGGGTGTTTAGAGAGTTAAATTCAAACACTTGGCGTCCGATTGAGATTAGGACTGTTGACACCCTATAAATCAAACACTAGCATGCAATTATGCAAAACATTGGTGGAAGTTCGTAAGTACAGACACATTCTGAGTCTCAGACTCCAAAGTCAGGTTACATTTGAATGTTCAAGCTACTTTTAATATCTACTCTGAAGGCCTTGATCTAATTAACCTAATGACAATGTAGATTTTAACACTGATGATAACCAACACAGAAAAAAACTCTATTGAACGGCCTTATAATTACAATACAAGAGGTACAATGGAATAAAATTTTATAATTGCACAGCTGTTCACTGTCAAAATCCAGCCTAAAGGCTTGATGCTGTCTTTGATATTCACAGTGCAGAAATTTGGGTTAGGAAGTAGGAGATAGATAGAAGATAGATGATTTAGTTTGCTCAGGGACCCCCCAGAACACTTTCTGTTTATATAGAGGTTTGGATTAGCTGGTCTTTTCATCACATAGAAGGGGAAAGGCAATTGCCGCCAAGCCATGTTCCCTACTCTGGGCAATTTACTTGCCAAGCAAACCGAGACAGATCCAGAGCAACACGCAGCAGTCCTTGCTAACCATTTGCCAGCTCCCTCTTTTCAATTTGAACTTTGCTGAACAGCCAAAATGTGGGCTGTTATTAACTCAGGAATGGATTTAAAATATCACATCTAGCTGCATCTGATCCCATCTAAAATGAGTCTCAAACCTGGGACGTCCCTGGGGACAGGTGTACTACCCCATCTTCACTTTGCAATCTATTTAACCAGCGTTCACTTGCTTCCTGAGCGTCCCCACACATCAGGATAGTAAATGAATGCAAAATAACAAACAGGGTTTGAATAAAGAAATTAGGGTGAATGGCATAAATGGAAGGTCAAAGGAGGAAAGCTAACCTGAAATTGAATTTCTGCATGGTGAAGTGCCTTTCAACCTTTGTGTGTGTGTGTGTGTGTGTGTGTGTGTGTGTGTGTGTGTATTATTGGATTAAATTGGTCTATGCTGGGGTTTGGATATGAGCAATTTTTAAAGTCTTCTCATAGGATTCTATTGAGATTTGTGATCAGGGACCTCACAAATAGCTGCACAGGTTGTTCCCTGAATGATTCCAGTATCAACACCACCTGTGACCTGACTGGTGCTCCCTGAAGTTCAGCCCTGAGGAAATCTGATTGGAGCTATTGGCACAATGGAAAGGATATTGGTATCTAGCTCTGGATTTAAGTGATGGTTTTCTCACTTACTAGCTACACAGAGTGAGCAAATTATGGACTTTCAGTCCTACCATCTGTAATGAGGTTGACAATAATTTTTTTTCTTTTTGGGGAAATGAGAATTAAATAATAAGTTGACTCCATAACACAGGTCCTCTGAACCCTTAGAGACTCGGTGCTCTTCCAAATCCAGGAAAAGCCTCGAAGAGCCTGTTAGAGCCTCGCTGAGATCAGACCTTTTCTGGAGCATTTGATTCTCTTCAACAATATATAACTTTTCTCCAGTCTGGATTCTTACAGTCTGACAGGCTTTGCTGAAAAGATGTGCAACCTACCATGTGTTGCTTTAAATGTCCTGGTCAGCCTGCAGTTATATCAATTGTCACATGGAATTCATTGCAGCCAGTATTTTTAAGCAGTTTTTCAGAGACCATTATTTGCATTTTGCATTTTCTGATTTTTTTTTCTCGATAGTTTTAATCTGGAGAGTAAATAAATTGAGGGAGGCTTCTGGAGAGTTTTTTTTTTTTAATTGTTGAATTGTTCAGTAGATTTTTTTTTGTTGTTCTTCTTGGAAGTAATTATTGGAAACCTGCCTCACAAATTATTCTTTCAATTCTGGTGACAGAAATAAAAAAAAATTGTAAAGTCCTAATTAGCCATTGAGTTAATGCCAAGGCAGTTTGTGCTAGTAAAATAAACAATGCTCTGAAAATAAGTTTTCAGATTCACATTGAGAAGAACAAAACACAAATTCTATTATTCTCCATTTCTGCTCAGAGTTCTGAGGTGGTGGTGGAGGGTTTCTCATGGTATTTCAATTTCTTCTCGAATAAGTTAAGCAGATTAGCTGAACTGGCTACTGTCAGCCCTTAATTATTCACTGAATTGGATAATGACTGGCAAAGCAGACATTGTGATTGATTAACCAATTACGAAGAAATGCCTGCATGTTGCCATTTAACAAGAATCAGCCTTGTACATCAAAACCCATATGACCCCCACGCACAGGGCTGCCAGATAAAAATATTGTACCAGACATGCTTACACTAAAAATTTAGTCCTTTTTCATCTGAAATTTTAAGTTTTCCTGAATATCCTATATCTTTATTTGCTTAAACAGGTAAACCTCGATGTAAGTGATTTTCCTCCCCTTTATTTCCATTTGTCAAATCAATAATTTGCATCAGGGTGAATGATGAGTAGGCTAGCAAGCAGAGGGAGGGAAAAGGACCACACCCTCTGCCTCTTACCAATCCTTCCTTACTGCCAGGGTCTCCAGAATCGGGGATGATGCTGTTCTTTAAAGTTCTCCTTTTGTCCTTCCTCTTCAGCTGGGGCTGATTTGCCATCAGAGTCTAAGTCAAACATTTAAATCTGCAACCATTTATTTAAACTAGGCATTCTATTTGCTGAATAAGTGTCATTACAAGGAGGACAAATTGGGGGGGGTGACTAGGAATGGGGATGATCTTAACATTTATTGAATACTTGGTAAGTCCTGGGGATGGAACTAGGTGCTTGGCATGCATCAACTCGATTAGTACCCCCATCAGAGGACACTATCACCCCATCTTACAGACAAGAAAACTGAGGCTTAATGAAGTTGAGCCCCTTGCCTGGGGTCACATTCTTAGAAAGCAGAGGGGCAGGGAATGAAATCTCCTCCTGAATGGTCTACTGGAGCAGTGGTTCTCAACTGGGGTGATTTTACCCTCCAGAGGACACTTGGCAATGTCAGGAGACATTCTTAGGCCTCACAGCTGGGGAAGGGGGGATGGTGCTGCTGGCATCTAGGGGGTCGGGGCAGGGATATTGCTAGACAGTACAAAACACATAACAGCCCTTACAACAAAGGATTTATCAACCCCAAATGTCTGAGGCTGGAAACCTCTGCTACAGAAAGAAGGCAGGAGAAGAAAGTGGAAGGAGCTCAAGTTCCTACTTCTACCCCAATGTACCGTAGCATGTGGTGGGCTTGTATCCAGAGTAGCCCTTGCCTTTGGGGTGCGAGAGCAGGACTGTGGGAGGTCAGGATGGCAAGGGAAAGGCTGGCATTCTACCCTCTGATTGCTTACCAAGGTGGAGGATTTCTTGACAATTTGTCTTGCCTTCTCTAGTGTAAATTTCCATGGCTCCTATAAAAGCAAAGTTAGACAACATTATAACTTGTTTCACCTTTTCTTTCCATGCCTTTCCTAAAGTAAGATTTTTTTTGTCCATAAGTTTGCAATAAATAAACTATTACATACGTTATGATAAAATAATTCACAAGAAAGCAAATTTGTGTCATTAAAGACTTTAGTCTGTATGAGAGGCTGTGCTAAATTCTTTGCAAACATTATCTTTCTCAATCTTCACAGAAGCCCTAAGAGATAGGACCATTTTATAGATGAGGAAATTGAGATGCAGAAAAGCTAAGAAACTGGCTCAGGGTTGGGTGACAGAGTCTGGTAGAGAGGTGATCTGAACCTCTGCTGCCTATAGCTGTGCTACACTGATCTCTCTGGTAACTGGTCCTTGTGTCTAGCAGCCCCACCAGCAGGAGGCTGTGAGCAGCCTGCTCCAGTGTCTTGTGCCTCAGCACTGAAGAATGGCTACTATCACTGCCATCCAGCTCACACTCATCTCCCACTCACCTCCTCCTTTCCTAGTTCAATATCCTCAGTCCTCTTCCAGCCATTTCCAGAGCTTCTATCAAGCATACAAATATTGCAAGCACAAACAGTAAGTTCATTATTACCAATAATGTTTGCTATGAAAAACTCTAAGGACCACCATGTTTGTGTACTTGCAGGAGGCTGGGAGAAACATAACCCAGGAGTGGGGTGGGGCTGGGGAGGGTTGGCTCCAGCACTGCTTCTCAGAGCTTTTATCCCCCACTCAGTGCATACATGCCTGCCCTGCCTGTCCTTTCTTGGCCTGCTCCTGGGACAGTCCTAGGGTAATCCTCTGCTAAATAATTGATAGATACACTGGGAAACTGTTATTTTTAATTATTTTAAAACATTTATTTATTGCTCCCTTTTTGGTTATACATGTCAGTAGAACCCATTGTGACATCATTATACAAGCATGGATTATATCTTATTCTAGTTAAGATCCTATTTTATGGATGTATATGATGGTGGGATTCACTGTGATGGTTTCATCTATGTAAATAGGAAAATTATGTCACATTCATTCCACTGTTTTTTTCTTTTCCTTTTTAACCATTATTTGTATCTCCCCCAAATCAGCAGGGAAGCTGGGATTTGGGGGTGGGTGCCATAGTTATCACTACGGGTAAGCTGAGAATGTTGTCCCTGTACATATCAACTCGATTAGCCCTCCCACCAGAGGACACTGTTATCCTCTAGACACAGCTATTTTTCAACCAGCACAGCAGTGTTTCAATGTTCTTAGAAGCATATCCTATACCAGGACATCCTGGCAACCAAGCCCACCTAGAGAATGTCTGGATGTAGAAATAGGGCTTTTGGGATAGAGGGTCATCAAGAGAAGTTCTCTTGGGAGATGTTGGCTGCCAACGGATGTTCAGGACTCAGGTCTTTATTGAAGTCTTGTCTGTTCCTCACCCTTTGAGCTTTCTTTCTCCGCTCTGGCGCTATGTTGAATGAAAATGTCAGAAGAGGAATGTTATGATTTGGATATGAGGTTTCCTCCAGAATTTCCTTTGTTAACAAAGGAGTTAAAGTGATTAGACTATGAGAAGCATAACCTAATCAGCATATTCAAGTTTGAATGGACTAAGTGGCTGGTAGCTGTAGGTAGGCGGGGCATGACTGGAAGAAGTAGGTCACTGGAGACGTGCCCTGCCAGGGTTCATCTTCCCGCAGCCCTTTCCCCTTTCTCTCATGCTTCCTGGATGCCATGAACGGAGCTGCACTTCTCCACCCTGCCCTTCTGCCATTATCTTGGCCCCGGAGCACTGGAGTCAGCCCACCATGGACTGAACCTTTGAAATTGTGAGCCAAAATAAGCTTTTCTTTTTCTAACTTCTTGTCAGGTATTTTTGTCACAACAATGTAAAGAAGATTAAAATAAAGAAAGAAGTGTCCAGTGTAGAGAATCTTCCAGGAGGAGCATCTAGAAAGAGGGCCTCGGAGTCAGCCTCAGCTCATCCTCCATAGCAGACTCTGAAACCATTTCAAATTATATTCCTTTTGTTCAAATTATATTCCTTTTGTTCAAATTATATTCCTTTTGTTCAAGCTCAAAGGACAGCAAACCCTGTCTCTAAGGTCAAAGGCAGCAGGTTGGCTAATAGAAGAATGTACAGAAATGACTGGAGAATAGAAGATATTCTCTCTGGGGGAGTTGGTTGCCAGGATGCCCTGAAACAGGGTGTATTTTTTAGAACATTGAAACAATGCTGTGCCAGTTGGTGAGCAGCTGTGTCCCTTGCATTTTGAATGTCCCCTACCTTTTACCTGGCCACCCAATCTCTTCCTAGGACTCCCCAACTCCTTGTGATGGTTCAATTAAGGGGTCAGTGTGATGATACCACACACCGGGCACCTCTAGGCTGTGTTCCAACATTGCATCCAGCATCCATTCTGATCTGTTGGCAAGCAGGTATAAAAAAATTTGATGACAATCCTCACTTTTAAAACATGGATGTCTTTTAACTGAAAGCCGGTTTAGGGGATGTCCCCATTCAAAAACAATTACTTTGGCTTTTTCTGGAAGTTCTCCTGTCATATATAATAAGCCTCTCTGACATGCCCAGTGTAACAGGGACCAGATAAAGAGCTAATTTCTCTTTTGGGCTACTCTTGTTAGCCTCAAGCTCATTTTCCACCTATGGGAAGTTGAAGGGTGTTATTCATTTATCTTTATTATGTGTCTCTGCCTCTCTGTCTCAAAATGTTGCCTTGCATTCTGAGGCCCCATTTAAACATCTACAGTGTCCAGTATGGTCCCTGATACACATAGTAGGTGCTCAATATATAAGGAAATAAAAAGTGAAAGAAAACACATATGCTATTACCTCATTCAAGGAAAATAGGCCACCAGATTTCATACACACAGGAAAAACAATAACAGCAACAACAAACTTGCAAAGGAATGTGCCATACGAATTTTGGGTGATAATTTTTTCCTTTTTGTTCTTTCTTGTATTTTATAAATTTCCAAGAATGAACACCAATACAATAAAAAATAGTTGGGTCTAAGTGAAAGGAAGATCATTAGAGTAGAGGAAGCAGATCAGGGGGAGGGAGGAGGGAAGGGAAGAGGGTAATATTGGGGATCAAAGTGGAGAAAATTATGCTGTATGCATTTATGAATATGTCAAAATAAACCCCACTATTATGTATAACTATCCTGTGCTAAAAAAATAAAAAAGAGAAAAAATACTTTTGGTTCAATCCATGTGGCTTTTATTTCTTATTGATAAAGAAAATTATGTGCCCACAGCATACATATACCAGTGAAGGCCCTGGGGATATGGTGATGAAGGACACAGACACTTCTGTTCTCCTCAAACTTCCAGTCTGCTAGGAGACTGACCTTGAACAAGCACAGAAAATAGAAGTGAGACAAAGCTAACCTCCAAGAGGGAGTCAGTAATATCTTCCTTGTAGAGGATGCCTGGATCCCTTTGAAAGAACCAATTCAATTTTAACCAACTCAGTTCTCCRGGGCTCAATGTTGGTTGGGGGATGAAAACCAACCAACCAACCAAACAYAAAAACATATCAGGGCAAGAGCCACCCTGGAGGCCTTGACCCATCCTTAGTGCTGGGGTGTGATGGGCTGTCTATGGTCTTCCTGATAAGTAGCAGATGGACATGAGCCATTGGAACACAAGGCTAAGGGGATAATTMTGTAAACTGGGTTACAATTCAGACCTCCATACATTTTCTCTTAAAAAAAAAAAAAACATTTTATCCCCAAAGCAATTTACCTAAAGCCACTCTAGCCCTGCTCTGGCTTAAATCAATGGGATATGCCACATCCCCTGACAAACAACCTATTATCTGMCCAGCTATTCTCAGGGCCAAGAAATGCTGGTCTAAAGAATCTGTTGTGTCTATGAAGAGAATACAGGTTACTCTAAAGGGGGATTTCTGTGACCTTTATATAGCCCAAAGACTCCATGGCTCAGGAGGACAGGATGATTAAAAGCAAAGCCCATGTGAAATGTGTAAGAACAAGTTGCAATTAGAACCAGAAAGCCTGTGCCAGAGCAAACTAGAGTGCCTTTCAATCTTTAGCATGTCATGATAATAGTGAAATTCTGCCTCTGGCCCAMGGGTCTTGCTAGGGTAACTGTGGGGAAGACCATGTGCAGTAGGGACTTAAAGATCTGATGCAATCTTACTGTCAAGAGTGGGGAGGTGTTACCTGGTGGGACTCTCCAGAAACTTCCCTGACTCTCCTCAATAAAACCAGGGAACAAAGGGGAGCCAGTGGATCTCTCAGAGACTGCCCACACTCTCCCTTGAGGGTGTTTTTCTTTCTTTTCTAGTAAACTCTGTTATATTTCTATAATACTTCATGTCTTGCCTGAAATTTTCTCCTGAAAGAACACAAAAACTGAGATATGGAACGTGACCCCTGAATTACCCTGGAAACGTTCCTAGGAGGCTGAGGGCAGGTTGGTGCATGCGGGGTAGGTGTTGGGGAGCAGAGGCTGGGGCTGTAGGGAAACACACCTGTCTGTGTAAAGGACGGGAGTCAAAGCATCCAGKATCAGGAACAGCATCATGGACCCAAATGGGGATCCCAGCTCACCCAGGTACTGAATACCCACTTACAAATTCCAATTACAATGACCAGAAGGAATGTCTAGATTTCTGCTGAAAATTGGACAAGGGCAGGAGGACCAACTAGAAAATTTAAAACATTTCCGCAAGAGGCAGTTTGGGTAACACCAAAGTGAAGCAAAGAGGGAGTGGCTAGGTTTTCAACACATTCACGGGGGTTAAGTGTATCACCATTAGTGGGCCCAGGGAGGTCTCTGCAGAGGCAGAGGAGACCACTATTGAGATCTTCCAGGCTTTTAACATGTTGCAGAAGAAAAGAATTTAAGGGCACACCAGGTGTTTACTTTATTAGAAAGTAAAGGTGAAGACGCACATGCTCAGAGCAGAATGCGAGTTATCTCCAGAGTGAGAAAGAGTGCTTTGGG